GGAGGGGTAGACGAACCATGAGAGATGATGGACTCTGAAAAACAAACTGAGGGTTCTAGAGGGGAGGGGGTGGGAGGATGGGTTAGCCCGGTGGTGGGTATTGAGGAGGGCACATTCTGCATGGAGCAGTGGGTGTTATGCACAAACAATGAATCATGGAACACTTCATCTAAAACTAATGATGTAATGTATGGGGATTAACGTAAGAATAAAAAAAAAAGAAGTTGAGGATATATGGCAAAGGAAAATGTGCTGAAGTTAGAAAGATGACAAAATGAGAAAGGCAAGATAGTATTGAATACCAAATTCTGTAAGACTTGTGAGTGTACAATTTCTAAGTAGGGGTTCAGTTTGATGGTGATAATTATACCTACTACTTACAAATTGCTTACTATATGTAATCACTTTACATTTCTGTTCTTACTTCTTAACAACTCTAAGAGATAAATATCAAAATAACCATTTTGCAGAGAAGGAAACAAACTCCCAAGAGGTTAAATCCCATGGTTAGGGTCTGAAGAAGTCCTTAACCCTAGTATACCATGCTGCCTACCAGATGGAGTTTAAGTACATATAACTAATGTTTAAAAATATATACACATCTTTTAAACAAATAAGCATGCTATAAGGTATTTGATCAGTTCTCAGATAATGGGTATTTTTGAAGGGTTTAAATGGACAGCGAAGTTGGAATTTTAAAAACCCAAATACTGAAAGAACAGAACAGAATGCATGAGTGACTGATCACTATCCCTGGCACCATGTCTTCCTGCCCTGGAGGCTGAAGCTGTTCAACTCAATACCAGGATTTATTTTTCTCCAGACCACTTAACAGCTGCTGAAAAGATTTAACAAAAACAACAATGACCAAATGAACTTTTTCCAGAAAGTTTGTTAGTACCAAATGTAGGAACTTACATATTCATAATTCATTATATATTTGTTGAATTGAATAAGCTCATGCTCTTTACCTATAAATCATTTTTAAAAATCTATTGATGGGGCATCTGCCTGAGTCGGTAGGGCATGTGACTCTTTATCTCAGGGTTGTAAATTCAAGCCCCATGTTGGGTGTAGAGATTACTTAAAAACTTTTTAAAAAAAAAATTTGTCAAATCTACCTTTTTAATGTCTTCTTATATTAAAATATGGGAGGCATGATAAGTGTTCTGTCTCTTAAGCCATGCTAATTATGCTAATCATTTTGCTATGGATATTGTAGATTCATTTAAGTACTGTGTAGCAGGGGTAGACAAACTGTTTCTATAAATGGCTAGATTGTAAATATTTTGGGTTTTGTGGACCATAGCATCTCTACAGAAACTACTTAACTGCTAAATAGCAGCCATAGGCAATAGGTAAATGAATGAATATGACTGTGATCTAGTAAAACTTTATTTCCAAAAATAGAACAAGATTTGGCCCTTGGCTATAGCTTAGCTTGCAGACCCTACTCTCTAAGGAAATACCCATTGGTACAACCCAAACTTGTTCTGGATCTTATGAACTCTTGAGGAGATTGGAATGACATGCATGGACATTGTAACTATAAAAAACATGTGATTATTATATATATTATTAACATCATGTATTAGCATAAGCATTTATATGATTATTGCTAGCAAATATATGTTATGGAAAAGTTATCAGTGGTAATTTCAGATTTTATATAATTTTTTAAACTTATTTTTATTTGTTAAACAGTTGTTGTTTTTTCTCATCCCAGGGAGATTCCATACAAGCAGGTGATGATTCACCATTTTCGGATTCTATTACCCTGGAACAAACTACAAGTAACATTGGTGGATCCAGTGGACGTGTTAGTCTGTGGATGCAGTGGGTGCTCCCCAAAATTACTATAAAACTCTTTGCTCCAGATCCTGAAAATAAAGGCACAGGTACAGGGTTACTTTTCTCCTCTACTGAAAAGATAAAATACTAAAACTATTTTTAGAAGAAATAGTAGACTTTAGTTTTATTTATCACTGTCACTTAAACAAACATCATTAGCTCTAACTTAGGTGATTTCTATTAGCAATACTAATATATTGAATATAATACCTAAATTTTGTCTTTTTATATTAAAATCCATTCCAAAAGCCATTAGGTGATTTTTCATTGATTATATTGATGCATTTTATCATTGTCACTGAAAGTATTGCAGTGATACCAGATACAGCACTTCAAACATTAATGGATTTCTTCTGTCTTGAAATAGGTATCCTGTCTTAATTGTGAGGGCTCTTTTGATATTACTTTTCCTTATTATTGTAGAATCTTGTGTGGTTAATGAAGAGAAAGTCTCATTTCCTCTGTAGATGTCAAGAATATATATGTGAACATTAAAACTAAAACAGAAGGTTTTAATATTGATTGTGAGGCCTATGCTAATTTTAATGTTTGCTTCTTATTGCAGAGCTTTGTATGGTCAGTGAACTAGAAGATCTCAGTGCTTCCATAGATGTTCAGGATGTATATACCAAAGTGAAATGTAAAATAGAAAGTTTCAATATTGATCACTATAGAAGCAGGTAAATAATGTATAAGAAATATGGGAAAAGCTATACTTTCTTTGAATACAGTCTATATAGGAATTTTTATATTTTAATTTGGGTATTTCTAAAAAATACTGTACTTATTTCCAAAAAGGTTTCTTAACAGATAAATTGATCAATTTTCCTTGGAATTCGTTCATATATGGAATATAACAAAGTTTTGTTTCATAAGATGGCAGATCTGTTCACAAATACCATATTGCCATATTAAATGAAATAAGCTTACTCCCCATCTACTCCCCATACTAGAATAATCACAGATTGAAATGGAATAGTGACAGCTCATGGCCCTTTGTACTTTGGAGACTTTTCTTGTCTCACATTTGATTAATACACATGTGGTGGATATTCCTAGAATCAAATTTTCCTTTCCCTAGTAAATTTCTATCAAAAGTATGACGTAGGGGCGCCTGGGTGGCTCAGTTGGTTAAGCGACTGCCTTCGGCTCAGGTCATGATCCTGGAGTCCCAGGATCGAGTCCCGCATCGGGCTCCCTGCTCAGCAGGGAGTCTGCTTCTCCCTCTGACCCTCCCCCCTCTCATGTGCTCTCTCTCTCAAATAAATAAATAAAATCTTTAAAAAAAAAAAGTATGATGTAAAAAAATATAATTTATGCTTAAATTATGTTTAATATATACATATTTGTTTATGATAATAAATAATGATAGTAAAAAAGTAAAGTTTTAGATATCTTCACTCTAAAGATGCATAGCAATTTTGTCATTAATTTTTCCCAAATAAAAATAACAAATGCTTTTTGTGTTTTTTTGTTTTGTTTTTGTTTTTGTGTTTTTTTGCTTTAGAAAACTACTCTGGAATTTGTATTTTTTAAATGAATTATAATTTACATACCATAAAATTCACACATTTTAAAAAATTTTGAAACATCATTTTCAATTTCATATGGGTGTAGAAACAGTCTTAAAGTTTATTTTTTCTCTGCATTTATAATATTCAGCAGTTATTTATTGAGAGCACATATGTTTCTGTACCTTTACTGGTACATCATAGACCATAGAAGGAGAATGTTTTTTATTTAACATGTTTCCAATTCTACATTAAAAAATTTGAATTTTGATTCTTTATCACATTGCTTATCACATATATTGTATTGCTTATGTCAATGACTGTCAAATCTGTCCAGCCAAAACATTGTGTCGTAATTGTGAAGTTCAAAATATTTTGCTGGCTATATATTAAAATCTGTTTTATTGATAGTATATTACAAAGCATATAATTGTTTTTGTTGCATTAACCATGAATCATTAATTGATCTTTGATAATGGAATGTTTAGTTCTTTAGGTCCTCCTGAATAGCATATCTCTATATAAAAGTGATTTTTACAGGTGATACATGATTATTATGTTATAGCTGAAATCATTTCCTGATGATGTGAATATTATAATGTGTCTTCTAGATCATCAGTGACTTTACTGTCAAATTTATCTAAGTTTTAAATAATTTATTCATTCACTTAGTCAAAATATTTATTGGGTGTATATTATGTGCATGTGCTAAGCACTGAGGATATAGTGTTTGAGAAAAATAGACGTCAGTCATGCCCTTATGGGCCTTACAGTTTCATGGATGAGAGAGAAATAAATAACCAATCAGTAAGTATACAGTTTTACCATTAAGACAAATGCTTCTATGCAAAATGACCAGGGTGTGGTGCTAATATAAATTGTTCTTAATTGCATTGTCAGATCCATGTTTTAGTTCAGTGTAGTGTTGTTTACATAATAACTATTTGAAATAGTTATATATGCTCAATTTTTTAACTCAGAAAAATTGAAGAGAACAGATAAGGTGAACTTATGTTTTCCAGGCCAGGGGAAGGTTGGCAGTCAGGACATTTTGAAGGAGTATTTCTGCAGTGCAAAGAAAAACCTGTGGTGAGACTCATTCAGTAATTATGATTTTTTAAAAATATCTTGTAAACTGTTTTATCTTTGTTCTTTCATGCAATAGGACTAATGGTTACAAGAATTAAAGCTCAGAGTAAATTCTTTTTGACCTATTCTTCCAAAATTACATTATAAAATAAAACTATTCCTCTAAACTGCTTGTGTTTTGTAACCATTTTCCTGTTCTAGGTATTAAGTAAATTTTTCAAACAGCAAAGGTAGGATTGCTTTTATTAAAATACTTTATCATTAATGTATTATTATGTTGACTTTCCTATTCATAAATGAGTTCTTGTTGGATTGTCCTTTATCTAAACTAAAAGTAGTCACTTTACACAAAAAGCAATTATTTTTCATTTACTTCCATTAACAATGCTTTTGCAGAAGATGGTCCAGACAGAAGCCATACCTAGCAGTGGCTCAAACGTAAACCTATGCAGACTGCAGCAATATTAAAACTATCTAGATTTTTTTGCTTATGGCTTTTATTGCTTTTTGTCTTTTCACCTTCTTTGCTCCTGTCCATCACCTCAAGCCTTGGGGAAGAGTGTTGGTCTCTGGGGCAATGTGGAGGTGTCTTCCTTTCCTGTACTGACAAGCTGAACAGACGCACCTTGTTGGTTCGACCCATCAGCAAGCAGGACCCTTTCAGTAATTGCTCTGGCTTCTTTCCTTCTGTAAGAAATCATTTTAAAATTATGCTACAGAACTCCCACTAACAGGAATCCAGAGAAGGAATTAAACTATCCATAGAGTCAACTCTTGATTTTCATCTTCCTCTGTATCATCCACTTTGTCAGTGAACTCTACTGTACTTTTAAATCATACACTGGTTTTCCACTACAATCTAATTTGTTTCTGGGTTACTTGCATATCCTGTTTTTCACTCTGGTTTTGTGATTACAACCTAATTTTACCATCAGCACAAGAAAATCGAAGTGTAGGACATTAAGTATAATGTTTTTTAAATTGTGCATGTTTTGAATGATCAAGAGTTGACTAAACTGCTTTGTCATTTCCTTTATGATTCTTACTTGGATTGCTTTTTCCCCCCTTTCAATTATGCCATTTCCTTTTCACAACTAATTCAAAGTACCTTACTTGGTGACCTCTTGAAACTGGAAAAGGCTGCATGCCTGTCATTGACCAGATAGAAGATGAATACTAGGCTGTACACCAGTGGCTTTTAGAAGTTTAGAACCTTGTTTTTTCTAGTGGTACAATATATCTGGATATGTTATTAAGCTAATTCTTTTAAATGACATTCTTAAAGTCAATGCAAATGCATGTAATTTTAAAATATTAAGGCCAGATTATTAACAGTGGTAATAACAATTCTCTTAAGAATTTATTAAATCACTGCAAACATTATTAGATATTTTCTTAGCATGTGGGAACTATTTCCTTTTTTTGTAGCTCAAAAGGAATTTAAGACCTCTATCTTTAAAAAAAATGATAAAAATTAACCAAATATTTTAACTAATTGTGTTCCTAGATTTAATGTTTAGTATTGTATTTGCATAGCAAATGCTAGTTTCTGATTTGATTTTTTATTTTTTTCTGGAATTTTAGTCTGGAAAAAGATGTCTCTAAATGTGGCTTTTATATCAGCAAAAGTTCTGTTCAGATTTATTTTCATTTCTTTGAATGTTATTAGTGTCTATGAGAAGCATTCTTAATTTTTTTTTACATTTTGAATAATTTTAATGTACATTCATGAAAAACCCCACTTATTTATTAATGCCCTTTAAAAGTTTTCTTCATCAGTTTTTCTGAAGTTTTAAAATTTTTTCTAATATTTCTTTAATTTTCTAACTTTTCATTTTAAAGAGAATAAGATATTATTACTGTATGAAAAGTAATATTTACAGTATCTCAATTCCAGCCAGTATTCATTGATTCTTTTATTTTTTTTTTCCCTCTTACATTAAGGGAATTAAAGATGCAGCAGTTCAGCAAACTTTCTCTCATGGGAGTTTACCTTTTAAGAGTACCTACATTCAATATGTTTAAAAGATATTTTCCAAATTAAAGCGTTTATACAGTGAAACACCTTTTATGCTTTTTCCAGGATTCATGTGTTGCCATTATGAGGATTATTTGAGCAAGCCTATGTAGATTAGTGGTTGATGGCTGTTCCGCCCCCTCCCCCCAAGTCCAGTTTAGAGACCTAAAGACAGTGTTGCTGAGCAGCCATACCCCAGCCACCCTTCTCCATCCAGTGTTTCCTGCTGTCCAGCAAGATGGTGATAAGACTGATAGCACTTTTTCCTGTTTTACTGTATTTCTTTTTGAGTGTAGAAAGCAAAAGGAAAGAGAAATCAGAGAGGCAACGAGAAAGTTGGGAACGGTTAAAAAAATGTTCTGAGGGCAGGACAGTTATATGAAATATGATTATTTGTACATCCATTTAATGCCTATCTCCCAAGTTATTTTTAATGGTCAGAAAATTAGGTTAAAAAAGAACATATACAAAGATAAATTTTATCTCACCCTTCTTTGTTGTAAAGTCCAGATTAAAAACAAAATTAACAGGGGGTGCCTGGGTGGCTCAGTTGGTTAAGCGGCTGCCTTCGGCTCAGGTCATGATCTCAGGGTCCTGGGATCGAGCCCCGCATCGGGCTCCCTGCTCTGCTGGAAGCCTGCTTCTCCCTCTTCCACTCCCTCTGCTTGTGTTCCCTCTCACTGTGTCTCTCTCTGTCAAATAAATAAATAAAATCTTTAAAAAAAAAAAAAAACAGTAACAGCGGAATTGCATACTCTTTTCCTCCCGCTGTGTCACTGGATGACAGGCAGCAACATGAGAGGAAGGAATGGAAGCAAAAGAGCTTCCCTAGTGCTGGCATGACGTAGGTCCCAACACATTGCTACTTTGCCACTCTCACTTTTTTCCTGTTTGTTCTTCCTTCTCAGTTTACTTCCTCTCTTGACATCACACATTGGACCCTAGTAACCTAAAAACTTTATCAGGCCCTGGGAAGAGAGGTTGGAAATGTGGAGTATAACAACTTAACTTTAATTTTTTGTTGAGTAATTTACAAAATAGGATTTTATGTATATTTATTGGTTCGGGAAAACTTTCAAGAGCTGTCCTTTTCATATGTTGACAAATACAAAGTGCATTTTACTACACTCTTAAAAGTATGCTGTTTTACTATAATTTGTTTATAGTGTGTCATCTGAATATAAGTTAAGCGGACAAGTTTTGTCAGAAATATTGTTTTAATGATATAATTTTTACTTAAATGTTGTGTGCATATTAATATAACATTAGACCCAAGATATGAGTTTGAGTTGTAAGAGAGTTGATAGTTAGGTTTTACAAACAATATGATAGCCAGTGAAATAAGCAGGTTCTAAAAGACAGATGTTTTGTTTTTGTGTTACGTTACTGTTTCCAGTAAACATGCATTAAATGGTTGGTTTAGTTATCCAAGCATGGTATCAATGAGGCTCTTTTTATGGGCTCAGTCATCGTATAAATTAGCCACATTATCTAAGGAAAAACTGTTCTCATAAGTGTTAGGTCAAGGGAAGTCAATCATCTTTTCTATTCAGGTTGTTGATTACAAGTGGAAATATGTAACATGGTTATTTCAGTTTCATCTGCATAAACAATTTCTCTGTGACCCATGTTACAACAGCATATTGGTACTTTCGATGAAGAATTATCAAGAATGAAAAGATAAAATCCAGGGATGACTTGTTCCAAATTCTGAAAGTTATAGAAAATTTAGAAATCATGGACCCAGACACAACAAAGTTTAATTGCCTCTCAAGATCTAGAACTAGAACTCGGGATTCCTGATTTTCTAATTTTAGTTTGAGTCATTCTAAGTCTTAGATGGTTTTCCCCATCCTTGGAATTGATCAGTAATGTGCTCATCGAGGGTTATAGACATAATAAAAGATTATAATACCAACTGAGATTATTTTCTGCTTCCAAATAGTTTTTTTTCTTTTTTTAATGAAGTGTGTATTGTGATTTCCTTTTTCTGGAACAGACAACAGCAAAACTTCTAGATGGCTCTCATCAGCAGCATGGATTTCTCTCTTTGACATACACAAAAGCTGTAACAAAAAATGTCCGCCACAAGTTAACATCAAGAAATGAGCGAAGAAGTTTTCATAAGTTATCTGAAGGTTTAACGGATGGTTCCCCTCATTTTCTTCATGAAATTCTTCTTTCAGCACAAGCTTTTGATATTGTCCTTTGCTTTCCTTTGCTTAATGCCATTGCAAGTATATTTCAAGCAAAACTACCAAGGACCCAAAAAGAGAAAAGAAAATCTCCTGGTCAGCCCATGAGGAGCCATACCTTGACTTCACGCAGTTTACCTTTGATTTATATCACCACAAGTGTAATCAGAATTTTTGTTCCAAAAACAGAAGAAATGCAGCCAAGTATTGAAGGTATTGTCTTCAGATATTTTTTTTGGTCTGATTTTACATAACTTCCATTTGGGGGTTTTAGTTTCCTTTTTTTTTTTTTTAATATGGTTAGTGGTTGTATTTTGCACTTCGGTGTGTTTTAGAAAAAGTAAATATGTAATAGTCATTCTACAACTAAATCTTGAGGAGATATGTCAGAATACTGGGCATGTTTCTGACTCAATTAGTTACAGAATAAGAAATGATTTTTTTCGTCGGGGCTTTTGCTAGTAAAGCTTATGCTTACTGTCATTTGTTTTATTAAACTCAAATGTTAGGTTACATATACAAGGTAACCAGAAATTAGTTTTTTAAAAAATAGCGAACACTCCAAGGCTCCTGTGGCTTCTTCTAGGCTTCTCGGTGCAGATTATTTTAGGTTTTAAAATAAAGTGAATTTATAATCCCATTGCTTCCACCCATGAGAGTAACTTTTAAATTTTTAGTTTCCCCTGTGCTATAAAACAGTGAAGAACTTTCAGAATTTTGAGTGAAATTAGAGTATAGCGGTTCACATGGTATGAACTTCGGAATTACAGAGACCTGAGTTCAAATCCCAGCTTTACTAGTTATGAAGTATAAAATCTTGAGCAAGTTAATCTGAGTTCCTATGTATAAAATGGTAATATTGGTATTTAACTTGATAGGCCTTCCTGATAGCTTACTTTCCAATGATGACTGCATCGAGACTATGTGAATAGTGCCACTTGCTTAGTAAGCTCTCAATAAATGAGAGTTGAATCAGGAGGAGGTGTGCCCGTTCTTTCAAAGTAGAGTATTTGCAAGTCCCACATTTCGCTACTGCTTATACTTCATTGGCCAAAACTTAGTCATATGGCTACACCCCAGTGTGAGAGAGCCTGAGAAAAAGTGTTTCCCTAAGTGGTAGGGTACCTTGCTCATAAATTAAGGCCCTGTGAATTTGAGAAAGAAGAGAGAATGCTATCAGAGGGATAAGTAACAGCTTCTGGCATGTGAGAACAGTAGAGCTTTTTTTTCCTTTTAGTCCTGATGTGGAGGAGGAAGAGCTTGAATGATCAGGGATGGTAAATTAAAAAAAGAAAAGCACCAAGTTCCATTCTCTTTCTTCTTGGAGTCTAGTCTATCTCTTGTTCTGTCTGCAAACACATAGGGAAGACTATTCTGCCTAACATCATAAATAATTCAGTTTTGCTCAAAGTAATGGTCCTTCTAAAAATTTTTTTTCTATAAATAAAAAATATATTTGTAGAGCTTTATAGTTCTTAATTACAAAGATGTCTAGAGATAAATTCAGCATATTATACTTAACGGATTTTTAATACAAGCTAGTTCCTATTCTTTTCCTTCTGGTTTTTGCTAAGAGCTATCATAAAGTTAATTACTTTGAGATAAATTAGTACTCTCTGCATCACTGTATTCTGATAGGACTATATAGCTGTTTTCATTTATTCAGATAGTTTGTAGAAACACATGAATGGTAAAGAATAAAGTTAGTCTTCACTGAGCAATTACAAGTGATCTGAGAGGAAACCGCTAACCAGAAAAGCTGCATATTCATTGCAGAGACACTGACCTTTATGCTTTTTCCTTGTTATTATTCTTTATTATGTGAGTATCTAATAAATGTTTAGATAATATAATTTATATTAAAGTTACGTAGGTTTAAGAAAAACCTATATTTATTTATTTATTTTTAATTTAATTTTATTATGTTAGTCACCATACAGTCTTAGAGGGGGCATTTGAAAAGATTTATTTATTTGAGAGAGAGAGAATGCACGCACCTGAAGGGGGAGGGGCAGAGGGAGAAGGAGAGAAAATCTCAAGCAGTCTCCCTGCTGAGCGCAGAGCCTGACTCAGGACTCCATCCCAGGACCCTGAGATCATGACCTGAGCCAAAACCAAGAGTCTGACATTTAATCAAATGAGCTACCCAGGTGCCCCAAAAAGAAACCTATAATTTTAAATAATTTAGCTCTCTGAGAACTAGTTTGAGTGTCATAATAACATTTTCTCATAACCACACAAGCAGAGAATAGACATAAAAGGTCAGGGAGATTTTCAAGCCATCTTTTGGACTTTTCAGCTGAAAGTAGGGGGAAAACACTATGGAAGCAGTAGTTTGGCTTTGTTATTAGAGGAAACATGATTATTTTGGTAAAAGTTTGAAGTAGTCCATTACCTTTCAAAAACATCATTATATCACAGTATCTATAACTTTTTCCATTAAAATGGCAGAGAATTTGTATCTAGATAAAAATAAGAATAAAGTCTTATATCTATATTATAAAAAGTTCTAAATTTTTTTTAACAATTAAGGATATTGTTTTCTAGCTGTCTCTCTGGTAAGTATAAAAGCATTTATTTTCCTAACCAGAGTGAGTTTCTGTAATTTCACTTAAAATAAGATACGTTAGTAAGCTTTTGTGATTTCCTGAAAATTCTTTGTAGTGTGTATTTTATATTTCCATAATTTTCTAATTATTTTTATTTGAATGTAAACAATTGGTAAGGCCAAAACTTCATTGAGACCTAAGAAAAAAAGTTTTATAGGAGATGAAAAGTTAGGATGAGGTGGAGAGAAGTACAGAAAGAGGGCTGTATGAAAAAATTGGGAAAGGTCATGCAGACAAATCAGGAAGCAAAGCAACCTTTCTGACTTTGTGATACTTTAGTACTGATATAGAAGTGTTCAGGAATTACAAATGACCTTCAAATCATAGGACTGAACTGGTCTCTAAATAGTAATTGCATGTTAACTGATCCTAAATTGAATCCTTTTTCCACTAATATCCCTAATGCTATTTTAATTTAAGGTTTCACACCTTAAATTTCACATCTAAAATATCAATAGTGATCACAAATACAAATAAAAAGAAAATAAACATAGTGTAGGGGCGCCTGGGTGGCTCAGTCGGTTAAGTGTCTGCTTTCGGCTCAGGTCATAATCCTAGGGTCCTGGGATCGAGTCCCGCATCGGGCTCCCCGCTCTGTGGGGAGCCTGCTTCTCCCTCTCCTCCCCACTTGTGCTCTCTCTCTCACTATCTCTGTCTCTCTCTCAAATAAATAAAATCTAAATAAATAAATAAATAAACATAGTGTATATGCTTCATCTCCCACTTAAGTTTTGAAATTAGGCCTAGAATATAAAGCAGCATCAATATGTCGCTTTTTCAAGACGTGCCAGTATGGCTAAGACTTTTTAAATAGATGTTCAATAGTGTTTATACTGGTAAATCGTCCAGAATCAGACATAGCTGTTTCTCAGTGTGCACATTTGATCTGCATTCGACTTTTGCTTATTCATCGTAAAATATTATCTGTTTGATGTACTGAATGATTTGGGATGTCTTTGACTGGTACTTGTTAATACGGGGGCATTTTCACAGTGCATTGTTCTTTCATTTCAGTTTAGATGTTCATTCTAGGGCTCCTTTGAATAAAATTTTTGTAACAATACATGTGAGAGAAATTTACATGACAAACTAATTTTCACCATCCATGTCAGTGTCATGCCCTTAGGTGGTCATCGCTAGGAGGATCTTATCTATAATGTTAAATGTTTCTTCTTAAGACAGACATTACGTGTAAAATGTAAATTGTCTTGATCATTGAATTAGAAGTCTTTTTTTTTTTCATTTTTTTTTTTATTGTGGTAAAATACATATAACCAAATTTTTTCCGTTTGTTATTATTCAGGGGTACCTTAATGGAATAAATTACATTTACAGTATTTTACAACCATAACTACTATTTCCAAGATGTTTTCATCATCACAAATAAACTCTGTTCCCATTAAGCAATAACTCTCCCAGCCCTTGATAACCTCTAATTTACCTTCTGTCTCTATGAATTTGCCTATTCTGGATATTTCATGTAAGTGGAATCATGAATATTTGGCTTGTTTCACTTAGCGTGATGTTTTTAAGGTCCATCCATATTGTAGAATGTATCAGAACTTCATCTTTATGGCTGGATAATATTTCATTTTATGGATGTACCACGTTTTGTTAACTTATATCTATCAGACACTTGGGCTGTTTCCAGCGTTGAGTTGGTTATTATGAGTAATGCTGCCATGAACACTGTCATACAGGTGTCTGTTGGAGCCCATTTTCACCTCTAGTGGATATGGACCTAGGAATGGAATTGCTGGATCATATGGTAATTCTGTATTAGAATTCTTTGTTTTTGAGGAACCTCCAGTCTATTTAGACGCCTTTTTGACAAAGGCAGGATTTGGGGTATTTTCTGAACAACACTTATGTGCAGGCATAGTTTGGCCAATAAGAGGGCTCACTCTTAGTGCAGATGGGAGCATGGTTACACTGAGCACCTGAGCACCTCTGCAGTAAGACAGAGGTCAGAAGTTCGGTAGTGAACTCTAGCTTCGTTGTTTTTTTCCTACACAGCAGTGGTTTATTGAAGCAGGTTCTGTGCTTCACTGATTTGTGTACGTGTCAGAAGGAATAAAAACCTGGCTCTTTGAGAAAATGGAGAGAAAAAAATGCTTTATTTCTTGATTTCTTTGCATTTTTGTCTTGTTTGTTGTTTTTTGGCTTCCTGTGTTAAAAGTTTTAAAATTCCTATTCAGCTGCTGTAACTAGAAAAATCCCCAATTGATTGTAATTGCAAAAATC